TATATACATAATTTGTATATATATATATATAAATTATAAGTGGAAGAGAAGTAATGAGGGCCAGGGTTAAGGACTTTGGATACATCAGTGATATAGAGAGGGGATATATCTATATATACAAACCACAAAACCAACCACACTGGAAACATGAGATCCAAACTACCAAAAGCAAGCACAAAAATGTGCCTGTCAAGGCAGCAAGCTGGGAGGTAGAAGGGGACCTGAGAACACTGGTGTTGGGAAGTCGAAACTGGTGGTGCTATTGGTACTAGAACATTGTCTAAACTCAACCATATATAATTTTGTAAATCATTGTTTTGCAAAACTGTTAATAGTGCAATGAAACTAGAGTTTTCCCTGCCATCACACACCATACATATAGGTAAATTCAAAATGGAGTAATAACCTTGATGTCAAATACCCATTAAACACACTGAAGAAAACATTGGAAAAATGCTCTATAATACTAACCTCAGAGGAGAATTCAATGAGACAACCCACTGGCAAAGAAAACAAAAGTAGAAATAAACACAGAAATGGAACTATGTTCAACTCAAAAGCATCTGCACAGCCAAAGAAATAATGACCTAAATAAAATGACAGCCCATTAAATGGTAAAAAAAAAAAACTTCACACATCATAAAAGGCTAATTCCTAAGACTCAAGCACTCAAGAGTTAAAAAGTAAAATATCAATGTAGCTTATGGATTCCAAAGGCAGCTCAGATAGAGAAGGGAGCACCAAATAAAGTGTGTTGGGAGGTTCCTCTCAGGATGGGAAATGCGTGATGAGAGTAGACTGTAGTCCGAACAAGATTGCCACTCAATGTCTCTTTTGCAAACCACAGCACTCAAAAGGAGAGAGATAACAAAAGGGAATGCCCTGCCACAGAGGTAGGGTGGGTTGGGGGAAAGGGGGGTGGGAAGGATACTAGGACTGGTGGTGGTGGAGAATGGGCACTGGTGGAGGGATGGGTATTCGATCATTGTATAACTGAAACCCAAGCACAAAAATTTGTAAGTCTACAACTGTACCTCATGGTGTTTCACTAATAAAAATTTAAAAAAATATATCAAATGACCTCAGCTGGAGCGATAGCACAGCGGTAGGGCGTTTGCCTTACAAGCGGCCAACATGGCCGACCTGAGTTCGATTCCTCCGCCCCTCTCGGAGAGCCCGGCAAGCTACCGAGAGTATTTGATATGCCAAACACAGTAACAATAAAGTCTCCAATGGAGACGTTACTGGGCCCGCTCGAGCAAATCAACGATCAACAGGAGAGCCTTTACCTTTACCTTATATCAAATGACCTCATCAAAAAAATGAAAAAGGGAGCTGAACAGACACTTCTTTGAAGAAGACATAAAGGTTCCCAACATATAAAAAATAGAAGTTTTCAAAGAAAGGGCTGAAGCTTTTCAAATTCTCTTTAAAAACTACATAATGATGTGGATTCAGGACACTTTTAGGTCCCCAAGTACTGGAAGTTAAGAGTAAATTCAAGCCAGTCAAATACATGGTACAGTAAATGGAAACATATTAAAGCTTGGTCCCCAAACTGGGTCTTGAATTAGTCATTCAGCATCTTTCCCTCTACTTTATCTTCTATACAAAAGATCAGAAAGAGTAAAGTGAACTAGAATTTTTTTTGAAAGTTCAAGTGTAGCAATTTTTCTGCCATTATTTCACTGCCATATACTATTCTTTTAGTATGCTTGTTTCTGTTTTGTTTGGGGGGGCACCCTGCAATGCTGAGGGGTTACTCCTGGAGCTGCACTTGGTGTACTCAGAGTATACTCAGTGGTGTGGAGGGTCGAGGGTGTCCCTGCAGAAGAGGACTGTGACCTGGGGAAGCAGCAAAGATCTTTCTCTGTCAGCAGTTCCCCAAAACCTGCTACTTACTAATCTCTCTGGGTGGAAGCTAAAATGGAAAATAGATTTCCCATCCCCCTTATCAGAACTGAACTTTGATCAGAAAAGTAACAAGCAGTCTGTGCTGTGGGGGTAACATGAAGGTGTCACTGGAGCAGTCTGGGGGGCTGCCTGGGAGGAAGGGGAGTGGACTGGGAGCTGTGAAGAAAAGTCTGAGGGAGAGTGAACTCAGTTCTGCTTTGAGGCTAGAACAGAATGAGGTCACCATAGCCACACTGGGGCCTGAACTCCTCTCCATGACTATGGGTTGTATCATTATTTCCCTGGTCCTTCCACTCACTCCCCAACACGCAAAGGGGTTTCTCCAACTTTAGTGCATCAGGGTGCTGCTTAAAAGTGTACGTTCCCGGGGCTGGAGCGATAGCACAGCGGGTAGGGCGTTTGCCTTGCACGCAGCCAACATGACCGACACAGGTTCAATTCCCAGCATCCCATATGGTCCCCTGAGCACCGCCAGGAGTAACTCCTGAGTGCAGAGCCAGGAGTAACCCCTGTGCATTGCCGGGTGTGATCCAAAAAGAAAAAAAAGTGTCGATTCCCACCCCCACTCCGGGACCCCAGGGTCTGTGTCTGTTCACCCTAGTGAGACACAGTCAGTCAGACACAGGGGCTCCGTGGCCCTCAAGGGGCTCTGCCCTGAGGACAATGGGAGTGGCCAAGGATGGAAATGCCCCAGGAACAGGGTTTGTGCTGATGTTGACAGTAGGAAAATGACTCACAAGGCACTGCTTTCTCTGGACTTTACTAGGTGAGATCAAGCCTGGGAAAACTTATGTTGTAATTGTTTTATGCATTTGTTTTGAGTTTCCAGATTGAACCCAGAGCCTCAAACGTGGCAAACATGTGACCCATTCTCTCTACCTTCACACCCTGGACCCCGACTTTGTCTCCACACAGCTCTGGGCCAAGCAGGTCTCTTGTTCTCTGCTCAGTGACCTCTACACTTCTCTGGGCACTGTGCTCCTGTTTCGGTTTCATTTCCCCATTTCAGTCCTGCCTAGAACATTCCATGGTTATCATGGTCCTGTAAGTTTCGTTGCAGTTCTTCTGACCAAAGAGATTCTCTAAATGCAGGACAGGGTGGCGGGGTCTGTGATTTCCTTCCACAAGACTGACCAGGAAACCCACTGGAACACGGCAGCTCTGAGAGCAGCTGTCCTGGCCCCCAGGCTCACTCGGCAGGCACCTTAGCAAGGGGAGAAGTGGAGGGTGTTGTTTTCTCCCTTCCCAAAACACAGCAACTGCACATGGGAGGGAGCTCCTCCTCACAGTGCTCAGCCCCGTCCCACCCACCTAAAATTCACAGTCAAGGACTCTGCCTCCCCTCTCTCCAGTGGAGCAGTGACTGTCCTTTAGGGTCAGGTACAAATCCAGAACAGTGCACAAATGTGTATCTTCACCCCACACTTGTCTTGCACTGCTCAAGATCCTTTGGAATACAGATTGAATCTCTTGAAAGGTGTGATGGCCACTGACTGTCCCAGCAGAAATCAGTGTGCCTCCCCCCTTCCTCATCCCTCCCCCCACACACCAGTAAAACACTCAGTTCCCTAAAGTGGATTCCCATCAGTCTCTCTCCTGCCCATTGTAAGTAAAGTATATAGGAGTAGGTATTATAAACCCTATCTTGTTCTCCACAGAATTGTAGATCTTTCTCTCACCCCTTGGTTTGCCTTTCTCCTAATATTAAGAAATGTTTGTGTAAATGATGTGTTTGTGCTCATTGATGAGTCAATTTGAAATGAGAGCAAAAGGATAACAATAGATAGCATTTATGTTAATAGATAAACATCTATTAATTAACATATTAATTTATAGATGTTTATCTAAAATAGAAAAACAATAGATGCTATTTCAGATACTGTCACACAGACAACAGACCCCCAGGCAGATTGAACAGAGCCCTGCAGTGGAGATTTCTGCACAGGCTGGTGTCCCCAGAGCCTCAGCAGGATACTGCTCTCTACCCCTTCCTGCTGCCTGCTGCTTCCAAAGCCCTTTCTAAACTCCATGCCCCAGAGTAAGGTGGATTTCAGGAACAAGTCCACCATCTACTTTCTTGGTGATGGCATCCGAATGAACTGTTTTATTCCCATTACCCGCTATTTGGTGAACACTTGCCTGGCCTCAAGGTTCCAGAACCCTAACCATGGTTCCACAGCATGTTTCATTCTCCTTGTCATTCAAGCCGGCTATGGTCTCCACCAAATTTTCTCAGCGTAATCTCCCCCTACAGCTTCACCAAGAGAGATAATTTTCAGTGTTTCGTTCGGGTGTCTGCCTGCACCTGGTGGTGCTCAGGCTACTCTTGGCTCTGTGAGCAGGGATCACTCCGGGATGGACAGGGGGGACCATGTGGGGTGGCAGGGATAGAACCTGGGTCAGCCACATGCAAGGCAAGCCCCTACCCGCTGTACTATCGCTCCGACCCAGTTCTGCTCTGTTTTTAATAAAAGCACCCCCACTTCCAAATCTGATAAAATGTCCCACAATCTTTTCCTTCTTACCTGCAGAGGTGCAAATTCTATTATTCTATAATATTAATTTTATTGTAGAATAATAGAATTATTATTATAATTCTATTATAATAGAATAGAATACCTACCAGCATGAGCGACCGCGGGCGCCCTTCCCGTGCCAGCCCTGGAGGTACTGAGCTTTCTGCCCCCAGCACTAGCCCCAGCATCATCACCATCACTTCCTCCACCCAGGCGCCCGCCTTCCCTGCCGCTCCCTTCCTGGCTGCCTTAACCGACCTCCCCCTCTGCAACAGTTTGCATGGAATTCTCCCAGGAAATCTCTCCCCGCTTAAGGTCGTCGTAACCCCCGCAGCCGCTCAGGAAGCCCGCCCAGGTCTGGTGGAGCTGCCGCCCCGCTGCACCCGCCGGATCCCGCAAACTGCGCGGGGCCCCTCCCGAGCTCGCCTGCGCTGCCGCCCGCTCCCTGAGCCCGGGAACCCGGCACTGGGCCGGCGCGGCGCCCCTCGGGTCCCCGGGAGGAAGAGCGCGGGGTCCTCCCGGCGCCCCCCGCCCCCTACCGCCCCTCCCCCCGCCCCAGCCGGGCCTCACCGTCCTCGGGGGAGAACAGCACCAGGAAGCGGCCCGGGCTCCCGGGCCACGGGCGCACCTCGCACTCGCCGCCGCCCGACCTCTTGGAGCTCTGGAAGTACATCTGCAACTTGGTGCTCAGGTTCCGCGGGGGGTCGGGGCCCCAGGAGCCCTCGACCAGCAGCGGGAAGGAGCGCGGCGCGGCCATGGGAGCTGCTGTGTGGGAAGGACGGCAAGGTCCACCCCAACCGCCCTAACAGCGACCGGCCAGGCCTTTCGGTTTCGTCGGGGAGACACGCCTCCTTCTGCTGAGCTAGCGCTGCCGGCGAGGCGCTCTCCCAGCTCCTGCGAGGGTCACCGTGGCAGCCCCTGGCACCCTCCGCCTGGCTGTCCACCCGCAGACTCGGAGCAGACAGCTGCCCCTAGGGCTCGCACCCACAGGCACGCAATCGGCTTCATTTCTGAGGCAGGCTGGTGTTTCACCTGCAAATTAATGGCGCCTAAAAGAGGAAGCCTCAGTTTCCCCCCTTGTCACTGTTGTCTGTGGCTCCATTTTAGATGAGTTAAGTCTACATTTTAGACACTCCTGAAAATTCCTAAATTCTCTCTGAGACTGGGTAGTTTACTCTTTCCCAAGACCATGAATTCTGCTCCAGCTCTTGGGCTCACAGAAGACTAAGATAATAGAAAACATCCAGGGAGATGGTACAATGAAAAACCTACATAGTACAGGGTGTTAGTCTTGACAACATAGACAGACCCTAAATTAGCAGAAAAATTTCTGGGAAACAAACGGGAGTTCTCTCATAATTTCTTTGCTGAGTAACACTAAGTCCCAGTTTTCCTATAAACCACACCTCCCCCCGCCCCCCAAATATGAACCCTATTTAATTAATTCCTAGACAAAGTATCTCCCCTGTTGGGGAATATCTTTCTCTTCTACTTACTTTCCAACAAACTTTTCTGTTTTCTAACTTTGAACATCTTGTCTTTGAAAATACTGAAGAATCTGGGAACCTGCCGGCCACCCCTGCATAGCAGCAAAGGCTTCAGGATTTTCAGGTATTTGTTTTAACTATTTCATTTCATTTCATTTCATTTCATCATCCTGTTAATCGTTGATTGCCTCGAGCAGGCCCCAGTAACGTCTCTTTCATCCTAGCCCTGAGATTATATTCACGGCTCCTTAGGAGAATGAGACCCATCATTGTTACTGGTATTTGGCATATTTGGTACGCCACGGGAAGTTTGCCAGACTCTGCCCTGTGAGCAGGCTACATTCGATAGCCTGCAAGTATGTCCAAAGTAGGAATGAGATAATAAGATGTCATAAAAAAAAAAGTTCTGATAAGATGTCGCGTGGCCGCGAATGCGGCCACGCGGTTCCGGGATCTAGATTTTATAGTCTCTGAGTCTTGGCTGCTGATGGGATTACACGGCGCCAGGGGGCCAGGTGGTGGGTGTGACCCCCGCCTGCTGGAATTTGGAGGATCTGGATAGAAGATGCTCGACTCCAATCCCAGTAGGCTTGGAGGTCTCCGCCCCGGAACCCGCGTGGCTTTGTCCCTCTGCCAGTACCTTCATGTGTGCGGAGAGTGGTCTCAGCATGGTGGTGGCTGGTCCTGGAGGTCTTCAGCTGCCGGAGCCCCGGTCGGGGCGGGGAGGAAAGCTCAACCCGCTCCCCTCCAAGGGGTCCCGGCTAATAGTTTTAACTATTAGCTATGAAAAACTGATCTTACTTTTTTTCCTTTTGTATTTTGCTTGGTTCTATGGAGATCAGATGGCTAGAAGTGTGGAGAAGCAAGATATTCACAATATTTTCCTGGGATACTTATGAGGCAGCATGCACTGAAGATGGATTCAGTGTCCCTGAGCTCCTAAAGCTGTGGTGATTCACAGGAATGATGCTGCCACAGGACCCCTGTTCTGGGGAGGAATATAGGGCGCTCCTCGACAAACGCCAGGGCTCCCAGCCCAGGTATGGGAATGAAAGAGGGTTTCTGTTTGTTTGTTATGGGGCCAGACCTGACAGTCCTCTGGACTTTGTACTATGGGTGGTGCACACAGAACCTAACTAGGGATCGAACCCAGGTCAGCAACATGCAAAGCAAGCACCTTACTTGCCATACTATTTCTGTCTCACATTTTTCAAAATTATAATTTATTGGAGGATACTTGCAAGCTGGGGGTAAAATAGATATGCCCTGAATTTCAAATTAAATGACATACCCTCACTGCAAGAGATGAAGGGTCTAGGAAGGGAAGAGTAACTGTCACCAAGACACCAAGGAGCCTCCAGGACACCTGACCTGCCAGTGAGAGGGCATCTGTGTCTGTGAGCACAAACATCAGGAGAGAGGCTGTGCTGGGCATGGCAGGAGGCACAGTGAGAGCTGGGGTAGCAGACTGCAGACTTCAGTCCCCAGCAGCAGCTAAGGATACAAGACTGAGGGGCAGATACACTCCTGCTTTGGTTGCTGCCAGGGTTTTCAGCCAGCTGTTGGTTCCTGCAATTGCCTGTGTATTGCATGGGTTAATCTGACAGCATGGGGGATGACAGCTTAGCTTGTGATCCCTGATCCATGAAGCCAAAATTCTAGCCTGGGTGTGGAGAGGATCTGATTGTGGAGCTGATTAGAATGAATAATCTTTACTATGACCGCATCCTAAGAGGCGTTCAGTTCTGGGGCTGACCTTGGCTTACTGCAGAGTACCTGTTCTACCCACACCTGGGCCACTTCAGGGATTTTGTTTACCTACAGTGTTTTCTACTTCTAGTCAGAGCAGGTAAACTGGATGCAGCTTGAAAGAAAGTCTGGGTTTTCAAATGACCATCTACACTGTTTGTGAATCATTCTTGTTTATCTACTGTAATTACTGTAAAAATTGTCACCTGATTGAAGCCCAAACCCACACATACCTTCCTCCTGGCTATACTTCACAATAAACATTTTAAGAAAACAATACCACAAAATAGAATTCAATCACAAAAAGACAATTGGAAAAATTTCAATCATTTGGAGTGCAAGCAATATTTTTCTCAGCAATCACTGAGTCAGTGAGGAAATTAACGAAGAAATTTAAATTACCTTTTCAGATAAACAAAAATGGAAAAAAATTATCAAAACCTATAAGAAGGGATATTCAGGAGAATGACTAGTGATCCGTCTTTTCCAAAGGGAAGAAGAGGAGGAGTCAGGGGGATGGCACAGGCTGAGGGACATGGGCGGTGTGTGCAGGATACCCTGCTTGATCCCGAGCACTGCATGGCCAGCTGAGCACTGCCGGGCACAGGCAGACAGAAGCAGCATCACTTTCTTAAGTCCTCGCATTGAATTGTCTGGCCTAGTTGACTGAGTATTGCTTGGAGTGACCCCCAGACTCACTGAGACTACTTGAGACACACCTCAAAATAAAAGAAACCAGAAAAATGGAAAATAATCAGTTTCTCTTAACAACTGAACCAAATGGGAAAAGAACAACAAATAAAATCAAGTTAGTAGAGGAAAAGAAACAGTAAAGAAGCTGGAGAGATAGTATAGTGGGTAGGGGCCTTGTATGCAGCCCATCGGGTTAATCCCTGACACCCCATGTGGTCCCCTGAGTCTAGCCAGGAGTCATCCCTGAGCGCAGAACAAAGACAGAAAGATAGTTCATAAATCTTGCTGAAACATGTAATCTTAACTTGTTGGGTGCTACTTTGACCTTAGATCGTACAACTCAAGGAAATAGATGCTTAGGTCAAAGGATAAAAGTAGTAATAGACTGACACTTAGTTTTATTTATATCACTATCAGGGGAGAAAATTTAATAAAGAAACTTCGTGTATTGATTAAAATGAAGGAAACTTAGTACTGTAGCACTGTCCTCCCATTGTTCATCGATTTGCTCAAGCGGGCCCAGTAACATCTCCATTGTGAGACTTCTTGTTACTGTGTTTGGCTATCAAATACGTCATGGGGAGCTTGCCAGGCTTTGCTGTGTGGGCAAGATACTCTCGGTAGCTTGCCGGGCTCTCCAATAGGGGCAGAGGAATGGAACCCGGCTTGGCCTGCTTGTCCAGTCACACGCAAGGCAAATGCCCTACCACTTAACTTAATCACTTAACTTCCCGTTAGTCGTCGATTTGCTCGAGCGGGCGCCAGTAACGTCTCCATTTGTCCCTGTCGCGTGCTAGTGTAGCCCAATGGCATCTCTTCGCTCCGGGAACATGGAGGGCCTCAAACCGATCGTTCATGACCTTGACAAAGAAGTCTGACCATCTGGTAGGTGGGCGGCCACGCGGTCTCTTGACATCCCGTGGAATCCAATCAGTAACAGCTCTAGTCCAACGGTCGTCTTTAAATCTCATTACGTGACCAGCCCATCTGATTTTCGACACCTTGGCAAATGAGACAGCGTCCCTGATCCTTGATCGTCGACGGATGTCAGAACTCCGGATTCGTTCTCTCATTTGAGTGAAACGTGATATTCCAAGCATAGCTCTTTCTATTCTTCTTTGGGAGACCTGAATGGCGTTCTCATCTTGTTTGCGTAGGGCCCAGGTCTCTGAGGCATATGTTAATGCAGGAAGAACAGTGGAATCAAAGAGATGTGCCCGGAGCCGGAGGTTCTTCGTCCTCTTAGCTATTTCTTCGACGTTCTTGAAGGCGTTCCAAGCCGCTCTCTTCCTCCTGCGCAGCTCGGGTGCCAGGTCATTTGTCATGTTGACCTCTCGACCTAGGTACACATAGCTGTTGCATTCGGAGATGGTCGTTCCATTGAGAGCGAATGGGGCGTCAGGAACAAGGCTGTTTCTCATAAACATTGTCTTCGTAAGATTCAGCTGTAGTCCTACCTTTCCACACTCACGGTCAAAGTCGGCCAGCATTTGTGCCGCTTGGCTGATGTTTGGTGTTATTAAAACAATGTCATCAGCAAAGCGGAGGTGGTGTAGTTGCCGACCATCTATCTTCACTCCCATTCCTTCCCATTCCAGTCGTCGCATGATGTTCTCGAGGGTGGCACTGAAGAGTTTTGGTGAAATGGTATCACCCTGCCGCACCCCTCTCTTGACATCAACGATCACTTCTTTGTAGAATGGTGAGATCCTGGTAGTGAATCCGCAATACAGCTCACGGAGGATCCTGATGTATTGGGCTTGAATGCCCTGATTGGCTAGGGCTTCAATGACCGCTTCCGTCTCAACAGAATCAAAGGCCTTCTTTA